AAGTTTTAAGTTCTATTTTCAGTTCAAATGTCGTGATCGTCAATTGTATCAACTTAAACAAGTTGCAGCATCTTTCTCTACGCTATTCTATACATTGGAAAAGAACTGCTTTGTACGTTGTGATATATCTGCTCGTCATGAAACACCTACTCATGATCATGAATATGGCATATGTAATACAGATTTGAGACATGTTATTCTTTATACAATACCATTGTCTTTTGAAGTATTTACAGTTTTTAAAACTTCAAAAATGAAGATGTTAGATTGGTCGAGAGACTTTATTGATTATCGGAGTATCAACGTGAATACAAATACGAAAACATTACACTTGAAAAGTTATTCGCCACCTGATCCTATGTTTTATCGAAGTTCTATCATCAATTTGATAATCAATACTTCCTTTAATGCACTACCTTGGGCTCATATCTTGACTAAATTACAACACATCACTATTGGCGATGGTGCAGCGTTATCCCTAGAAGATTTTAATATTTTATTAGATAAAACACCATATCTATGTTCATTGACCGTCAAAAAGAGTACGCTAAAATTGCTGACAGATAATTGGACTGATATATGCATTTGTCATCATCTCTCACGGAAGATTCGTTCAATGAATTTCAGTTTAGACCGAAATCCATCACAATGTTTTGATAAAAATGAACTTGAAAAAATCTTGCCAATATTTTCCTCGCAATGTCAGCATTTATCGTTAGGTGTCCATTCCCACAGCAATACTATTGATTTTATCTTACGTAAGATGCGTCATTTGATCAGTGTACATGTATACATTCAGCGAAAAAACTTTACGCCAATTACTATAGAATGGTTAGAACAACAAAACACACGATTCAACCGCACCAACTGTATTATTACGAATGACAAACATAATTATTATTTTTGGTTAGGATAGGGTGTGGGTGTGACTGCAACTGACACAATCATAATTAGATTTCTTTAGAAACTGCCATTATAAATACAATAAAATAAATATTTTCAATGCGAAAATCCTAAACTTCTTCGATATATCAATAAACAATATCACGAAGATTTAACAGATAATTAATTGAAGAACCTTCAACATACATACTCTAAAGGCTATGTCAACCGACAAAGAATATCGGAAAGCATATGCTATTGCAATAAGGGTAGGGGTAGCTGAGGATGAGGGTATAAGTCTATTCAAAATTATATCGGTCTATGCTTTAACAAAGACAGAAATCAATCTATTAGTCTCAACTCTTGCTTTTTATCAGCCAAGTTTTAGTCGAATATGGTCACTCAAATCCAAGAATATATTTCTGCTTAAAGTTCACACTAAATAAGTACACAAGAGAGTCTAACTTCATTGACGCGTTTCCTGTTTATTTTGTAAATATATTGAACGACTCTTTAGGGTCCTGTGTTACAAAGAGAAGCTTACTTAAAAACAACTAAGATACAAAAGAATACAATTGAAACAAATAACATGCAAACTTAAACAAAAATTAATAAAATCATATAAAGAATACAATAAAACTTTTAAGGAGCAAATAAAAAATTAGAAGCAATGGAAATCAATGTGATATAAAGGGATTTCTTGAAGATGTTTTTTTTTAATCATGTGTATGGATGATTATTTCGAGGCAGTTCCATATTTTATGTTTCCGTCTCTTAATTTATCTGAAACTTGCGATTCTTTGATACGAGAGATGCTTTCTGTTTTAGCCAAAACTTGATTAGGAATATTAACAAGAAGGAAACAGGAATTTTGTATTTGAAGCTGTTTTGCACTATTTTCAAGTACGTTGAGCCATTTTAAGCCGCTTTTAGCTACTGAGCGCCACTTGAAACTACGCTTAAGTATTCCAAAATTTTCCAATAACAGAACAAAAGTATCCTTTTCGTTAAAAATCAATTTTCAAAACAGAACAGTTTTGTTTCTCTGATGGTAGACTTCGAACATAGACTGCCTAAGGTATACTCCAGCTATTCACAATATATATGGGTCATTTCTATGATGATTTTTAGACAGAAGAAGAGCTAGCACTAATGGAATTGTGCTTGACTGTATTTATTCTTATCTAGAGTCGTGTCGCTTTCATACAGAGCACACACTTATATACTAGTCTATAAGAGAAAAGGAAGGAACACCAAAGGAAAGGCAGCAAGAGCAGAAGATAAATACATTGTAATAGAGACAAGGTACAACAAATTGTAAGAAGCAAAGACAATGCACTCTATCAAAATCGTTACAATTAGTAACAATGAGAACAAAGAACTAGGACGCCATAGAAAATATCTAAGAGTGTATGTGTGCGTCTGCCTGTGGGTATAGATTCAAACATCTACAGCCGCACCCGCACCCACACCCACACCCACACCCAGAAATGAACTAGTACTGCATTCTATTATTATTTAAATAAGATTATTCATCTATTAATTATCATTAAAAGTATTGATAATTCGCATGAATTTATTTCATTTCTTTAATACTTTAGTTACTATCTTAACTTTGATCGAAATAGACCTTTAGTAACCTTTTTTTTTATGCTCATAAGTTTTTTTCTCGAACAGAAAGAATACTATTGAGAAAATCATATCCTATACCGAGATAATTATTATATCTATTACGAAATATTTTTAGTCAGATTTACTTAACTATTGGGTGCGAGTATGGGTGTGGAATATAGTGTGAGTGTTCATCTTTTCTTCACCCGTACCCATATCCTCTTTCGAATGATGTATTTTTCTTTGAGTCGGCAAGAAATAAAATTTTTCGACCCAGTTGATATGATATACAAACAGTTGTCCGAACTTACATTTTTAAAGACAACCAAGGTAATAGTCTTTATCGAACTAATTATAAAATACTCTTTTATTTTTCTAGTAGTATCGGATTCATTAACTGAACATAATTTAACACGAAAAGTTACTTGAAGATAAAATGAAGTTTATCAAAGATTTATTTTGATAAATACTTAGGGCATACCAAAAGTAGTGACAGTGGCACTTCAATACCGTATAGTAAGCTTTAAAAAAGCTTCTATCTATATGAATTGATAGTAAAAACAATGCTTTACATTTCTATGATATTGCATCATGCTTCAACACTCATATCATGATAATGAACTTTTGACAAAAATCTATTTGTTATGATGCTGTAGTTTTTTTCACCGTTGGAAAGAGGAGATCACGACACATTGAATCGTATATTTTAGTCTTTTCTTATATGATTCTTGAAGCTTTTTCAATTAGTTTTCTAAATATCAGAAAAATGTTTTTTCTTATTAAAAAAGAAAAAGCAAAAAAGTGATCTTTTTTCATAGTATTTGCTAGAAAACTTGTAACGACTGAATGATAAAATATAAACCGTTAATATTTTCGCAGTTCTGTAGATCTTCGATTGACAATTTGACCACACACCTGATAATTGAAAATTCACTGTGAACAGCCAATGGGACTACGTTTGTTCTTGAAAAAAAGTAAAAAAATCCTGTTATCTACGATTCAATGCATCATGATCTTCTCTTTCCAACGATGAAAGCTGCATTTTCCTATTTTTTTTACTATTAAAAGCTATTCAAAAAATATGCCTCTCTTGTTTTTCGACATGAGCGTTCATATAACCGCCACATATCATAACAAATAACTATTTGCCGAAATCTTATTATTATAATATTAGTTGAAGTACGATGAAATATCATAGAAATGTAGAGCATTGTTTTTACGATCAGCTCAGATGGACAGAAGCTTTTTTAAGGCTTACTGTACAGTATTAAAGTGCCACTGCCACTAACTTTGGTATGCTCTAAGTACTTCGATGCGTAGTCATAATAATCTAAGTGTCATTTAAAGTACGAGATTGACGAATACATTTTAAATTTTAATTACTGATTTTCGATACGACGAAAACTTGGAAGATGGCCGCAACATATTATCAAATCAATACTCTGTGTTGGTGCTGAAACTCGTTTTCATTATATCGAAAGAAAACAGAGTTCTCACTTCAAAATTTTCATTTTGTGATGCAGATCGAGAATAAACGAAACTGCAGAACAAAATTTCTACAAAATTCGTACGACTTCTGTAGTTTTAGATAATCTCGACACAAAATAAGATTTTGAGTTATGTGCCGAAAAAGTAAAGAAAACTCGTAAACAATTACTGTACATTGCTTCGGAGAGTGAAACGATATAAGATACCAAAAACAACACAATAATGTTTCTATTCAATGAAAATAATGACCAATCAAATACCATTCAAAAATAAATCTTTAGAATGAATACATTGCATGCTCGAGCTAATTATCGAATCTTACGATATCGACACAATAAAAACGATGGCATTGGTTGATGAAAAACTCAATAGAATTGAAGTGAATTCTTTTCTATAATGCGCCGTATTCCAAAAATTTCTACTAAATTGATCTGAGTAATATTCATGGAGGATAATGGAAGTCAAAGTTAATTTAACTAATCTGAAGAAATATTCTTGTCTTTATGTTCTACGATGGCAATATATAGATCATTTATACAAATGGTAGCAGAAACAACCGTCAAAATCCATCATAGAATGCTATTACAAAGTCAAAAATATGTGTGAAAAATAGTATGATTCTATTGATCAATTAGAATCTATTTCACATAAAATTGAAATAGGAAATAGATGCATTGACACTACTAATAAAAAAGTGCAAAATTTCATTCTATCCACCTAAGTTTTCATATTCTATATGCCGGTCTATATATACTCTACGTATTTTATATACATACAAAGGAGATTATTCAACCGAGGCAATGAAAGCTTGTAGTTATAAAAATACAATATGTAATATGTATGACGTGTTTTTTTTGCTATCGTAAGTATGACACAGTAATTATCGATGTACGTTTTGTATGCTTAATTTGCTCTATGATAAATAAGACTGACGTACAAAAAAAAAATTCTAATGGTCAGGTAATATTATATATACGATACGCGCATGATTTTTAAATTATACAAGAAAAAAAAATCAAATGAGTGGTGATTTGACTTATATGAGTTGTCAAATGGCGACGAATGATTTTGTTAATGATTTAAAAAGATTATCTTTACATCAAACAGCAAATGAATATTCTAATGTAATTGAACATTTAATGATTCAATTACAACATGCAACACCAAATGGATTAATGGAAAATAAACCATTTGGTCTTGCTATTGTTGATAATTTTTATCGAGTAATTCCAATTTTTGATAAAAAATTATCAGATAACAATGAAAATTCTTATCATACAAATTCATTTTTGGAAGCATTATCGAATACATTTAATGATTTATGTTTATTAGATTTATTTCTTGCAATTAAAGATTCATATTGTCTTGAAATTATTTTTCATAATTATATTCCTTTACTTAAACAAAATTATTTTACAAGTGACGGTACATATGATCATCTTATTAATTGTTTATTACCTATTATTGCTTATTCAAGTTTATTAGTATCAATTAATGAAGCTGATCTACCATCAAATCTTCTTTCATATTTACTTGAATTTACTAAAACTAATTGGCAACATAAGCAAAGAAACAAAGTTATTAATAAAATTCTTACTTTAATAAAGGCATTTAGTAGAATAACAAAATTAGTACCAAGTGTAATTCATTCTGAATGGCCAAATGCATGTATTCAATGGTTAAAACAAACTGGACCAAGACCATCATATGAAACTGATCGTTTAATTAATCTTATTTTACAAAAACTTGCTCAACATACAATTGCTGTTGAAGTATTAAATCAATTAAATTGTGTTAATGCTCTAATTGAAAGTCATGAACAAATGAAAATCGATTATAATGAAGAAGATTATTCATGCATTCGTTTTATTCAATTTATAACTCATGCTTTACTTATAGAAGCTAATACAATTAAACAAAAAAATATTTTACATGATGAATTAATGTGTCATGTACTTGAACAAATGATTTCATTTATAATTTCTTCTTCACAAAATGGTTTAGTTTTTTATAAATGTTGTCATATATCAGAAATTTTATATGTTTTAAGTAAATTATTTGTTAATGATGATATACTTATAAAATGTTTAAAGGAAAATAATCAATTATTAGATTGTTTATGTCAATTACTTACTCAATATGCAACGATTACGAGTAATACAACAAGAGTTCATCAATATATGAGTGATGAAACATTAATAGTATTAGCTAATATTTTATGGAGTATATCATTTCATGAATCTTATCATGAAAATTTAAAATCAAATATTAATTTTATGCATACATTATCAAATTTAGCTACATCATCATTATTATATACAAGTACACAAATTAAAACAATTCCACGTGATATAAGTTCTTTAAAAAAAGCAACTGAAGGAATTTTATGGAATTTAAAATTTTCATATTTACCTATATCAAAAGAAAATTTAAGAGAACAATCACATATTATGATTAGTTATTCACATAGTGATTCAATATTTTGTCATGAACTTGTTGAATATTTATCTCATCATATACCTATTTGGGTTGATTATAAACAAGAACATCATAATACTATTTATTCAGATGATCTTTGGGAAGAAATTGCTGGTGCTATGGAAACAGCTAGTGTTATTGTTTTAATTGTATCAAAAGAATATCATGATTCAAAATCATGTAGACAAGAACTTTCTTATGCTTGTGATACATTAAAAAAACGTATTGTGCCTATATATCCTCCAAATCAAAATTATAAAGCAAGTGGTTGGCTTGGAATTCGCATAGCTGGACAAAGATATGTACATTTTGGACGAAAAATGTTCACAAGTGCTCTTCATGAACTTCTTTCTATTTTGATTGTTGATCAAAAGTCTATTACTATACAAAAAGCATCTAATAAAATGATTTCAACAAAATCGAATGAACAAGAAACTTCATTAAAAAATTGGACATCAAAAGATATTCAAAAATGGTTTAATGATAATCATATTCATAATGATTTAATTACACTTTTTGCTGATCGATTTCATACAGGTACAGCATTGATTGTTTATGCTCGTCATTTAAAACAATTTTATCGAGATGAATATATACAAATATTAGCAAATTATTATAAAACATTTAATGGTAAACAACTTCAAACAGTTGACTTTATTACATTTGTTGATGCACTTTGGCGATTACGTGAAGAATATGATTCTCAACGTAAGATCGAAGACTCTTTGGATAAATGTGATAAACAACAATCATCATATGCGATAAATAATTCTGAGAAAGAAACAGCTTGTTTTTAAACGTAAAAGTTTTGAATTTTCGACCTAAAATTTATCTTTTAATAAAAATGTACATTAGAAAAAAAGTCAATTGATGACTTATGAATGTTTTTATTTCTATATTTCTTCATAAACTTTATTCTATCTATTTAAATGAAGATAAAACTTTTCACAGTAGAAATCGTTCTGTGTTGATGAGATGAGTAAATGCGATTTAATTAAATAATCTAGAAGAGGTCATGACACATTTCAAATTGATAAGAGTTTTGACTGAATCTCTTATTGTTGATTTTTAAATTGCAAAAAAAAAAATTTACGATGAAAATCACAAAAAGCAAAATGACAAAAATATGGTTTACTTCGGTGATACTAGTATTTTAACAGTTATGATGACAGCAACCATTCGCTCTACTCTAGTCTGGAACTCTTACTCAGGACGATCAATTTCGACCGTCGGAAACGATCTAGTATCTACCGTAAATGTTGGAAACAGATGCCTGCTTTTTAGCTTGCATCCTGTCATCATAGATTACATATCTTTTTTTCCCCAGAACGTAAACGATCCCATTTTGCATTGCATTTGTCAAAAACCAATAGACGATATTAGGACCGAGTGTGGATGTGAGTATCTTCTTCTGGTTCATACCCTACATCCGCACCCTTGTTGACAATATCTTTATCCATTTTTCAGGATTGAATGAATTACCCAAGAAGCACTTTTGTTGTATTGATCAGATAGATCGTGACAATGACACTTGACTATTGACGGTTTTATTAATATTATACGAATTACCAAACTTTGTCAAATTGCCATTATCCAGTAATTTTGGCGGAGTGATTGATTGATCATTATCAGATGAATTACCAGACTATCTCAATTTGTCACTATCCGATGATTTTGGAGGACTGTTTGATTTGTTCCTTTTTGATGAATAAGTAGACATGTCAATATCGTGTAATTTTTCTTTTGCAGCATCTTTGGAGATAATTTCTTTGATATTCTTCGTAAATTTAAACATTTTCAGCACAATCTTTTGTAAAGAATCGATGATTTTAAGCGAGTTACAATTTTTTTCTCTGGACGTCCCAAAAATAATATTTGATGATGAAGTCTCATTTGCCTCGGTGATATGTACCATTGAAGACCAAGTGTGAGAACGATAATGAGAAATATCAAATATTTCATAGAAATATGGAACCCGATATGGGCACGACCAATGTTACGGAATTTCAGGATTTCACATTGCAACATCTGTATCTCGTCAATAATAAACGTAAACTCTCTAAAATTTTTATCATACATAGACTATTTAGACCTACTATTGGCATAAATATCACTGATTCTTCTTTGACCAGAGCAGAATTATTTGAAAAATATCGACCGTTGCGGAGTTTCAAAAATGGAATTTCTTTTTATGATGTACTGAAAGTTTAACGCGTTACTACGAAACTCAGCAAGAAAAAAATAAATATTCGGTCTAAAAATCAGTCAGCTTTGAATAAACTCTCGAAGCATTAGGTCGTTTCTTCACATGAGTGTCTGCATCGAATAGAAAATAAAAACTACTGTCCGTTAAGGAATTTCATCTCTTTTTCACATTCTCATAGGGTAGGTTTAGCATTATGAAATTTTAAATGGTCATAATAAAAACCGATCTTCTCTCTAATCCGTAAGTAGTACCAAGAGAGTTTTATCATTTAAGCAATGGAGTCTTACTCTTACAAAAGGAATTGGAATAGAACTGCTATCTATTTTTCGGACAAAAATGAAATTTAACAAAGTGTAAAATAATATTTTTTTTGATAAAATTAGGGAATTAATCTCTCCTTTATATATATAATGGAAGAAAAAGGAATTTCTATCATTCGTATAAAATACATCTCGTAGCCTTCAGCATGTTTGATAATCTGTTGAAAGTATGCTTTCGGTCATAGATACCCTATTTTTTTATTATTCGATAACTAAACCTTTCTCATAGATGATTGACCGCTGGCTGATTTCGCCCATATTCAATTTATCTCTTTTTGGATCAATTTACACTTACCGGAATTTATTAAGTCGCGAAATAAATTTTTAATAATTTAAATTTGCAAGATTTTTAATTTGCAATAAATTAATAGGAAAATGCCGCCCTATTTATTTTGTTATTTTCTTTTCGTTAGAATTTCATGAATCAAGATTAATTACGTACATTATCCTGGTGCATGTCATCATGACTGCTCGAATCAGAGTACTCTAACATTCGATTTCTCAAGCAATATCATATCGGATTTTTTTTATTCTATCACTATTCTTTCTAGCGATGCAACAAACCCGAGTGTTTGGGGTTTGGTATTAGAGGGTTTGGATTCGAAATTAGATTTGGATTTGGTTTGGATCCGGATCCGGATTTGATGTCTGGTATTTGGATCTGATTTCGGTTTGTTATCCTGTGCTTGGTTTTGGATTTGGATTTGATTTGGATTTGTTTTAGATTTAGTGTCCAATGACCCAAACCGTTTGGATTTGGGTGTATAATTTTTCAGTTGTTTCTTCTTGGTGCTATAAAACTTTTATCCTCTCACTACAATTGCACATGTCAAAGTAGGTTTGTGTGTGGGGTGTGGGTGTGGGTATGGGTGTGGGTCTGAGTAAAAAGCGGATTGGAACCCCCACCCACACCCTTTGTTTCTCAGCATTTACGAAAGAATTCTAGTCAAATGTTCACTTTTTTACCGGATTAGGAAATATCTATGATACTTCTTGAAGTAATTGTACTAAATAATATAACTTATCAGACTAGAATTCGATTTAGATTCGTCTTTTTATATTAATTGTTCATGAAAAAAAAATCATAATTTTCTCACTCAGTCATTACATAATTTATGCAGTCTAAATCGAAATTGCATAGATAAACTATGATGGTGAACTTCCTAAAAACATGGGACACGGTAGCTGTGAGGTCTCAGAAAACTTTGTTTGAGCTAATTCTTAATAATGCGAGCATAAAAAGCACAATATTTCACAAAATCCAGGAAAAAATTTGTTACTGACTTTTTAGACATTTCGTCGTCTTTACGACTTTTATGATTATTTTAATGTTTTGAGTGAAGGTCGTAGAAAATGCCATGATTCCTAAGTTTGCTCTTTTTAAGAATGGCAATGTTTAGAAAAAAACCTATCTAAAACAAAATCTTCTGACATCAGAAAAATACCTCGTCCATTTTTCTGAAGGCTAACAGTCATAGTTTATTCATAAAATTTTAATATAGAATGCATTAGATAGAAACCTTCATCGATTATTAAAATCACTATTGTGTCATGATCTAGATGCTCAGTATCATAGAAAAAAAAAATTTTCTTATTAAACTTTTCTCCACCATTTAAAGCACAATAATGTTTATCTTCTTTTGAGGATATTCACTATTGTCATGAAGTTGATCTGAATGGAGATCGATTAAGCATGAAAAGATTGTTCATAAATCATTTACTTCGACCATGTCGATAAGAACACACTCAACAATATAATTATCAGTATTGAGTTTTCAAAAGAATAAATTTTACTCGTAAAGAAACTCTTCTCATTAGAAATAAGATAGATAGATTGTTGTTATTATATGTTCAAATATGAAAACTGCAAACCAATGCACATTTGACAAATAGCTTGTTAATTTTAGAAATCTTTAGACTTTTGAAAAAGTAAATCTTCCTCATAAGTAAGCCAGTTTCAGAAACTATTCGCAAAAAAAGTTTGGGACTTATTATAATTATCGGTAAAGCAACCGAAGATCGTCTGTTTGAAAATACAACACTCTCCAGGTAATCTCATTAAATGCAAAAATTTGCTATCGATACATTATCTAATTATTTATTTGTATAACGTAAGTAATGTTAGAACTGGATTCAATTTTTCACCTGTGTTCGATCTTAGATGCAGACTTTGATTCTCTATCGAATGGTGCCATTTTCGATATGGGTTATCTGGCAAAAAATTTTCACTTACATCTGCCTGTAGGTATTGGTAATGCTCCATCTAGGTAACAAAATTTGGCAAGTCAAGAATGGATCGAAAACGAAGCCTCAACTTTGTACTGTCGATTCATATCTTCCATCACACTCACGCTCACCCCTTTGATAATCAAGAAAAATCCGTTTTGACCAGCGTAATCAAAATTTAACACTGTGGTACTTATTATCATTTTGATTGAAAACGTAAGATTTTATTTTAATTCAAAAAGAAATTCACTTTATAATCTTCACGAAAATTATTTCTTCAGTCAAAATATTTTGCAACCGGGAAACTGTTATTGACAATATTCGTCTATAGAATACAACTTTCTTATCTTTAGACTAGAAAATTCAAAAACACGCGTTTTAATAAATGAAAAAATCATTTTTTTACGGCTATGATTGTTTATATATGGATAGAAATCAAAATTAACAAACAACAAAATAATAAGTAAACAAAAAAAAAGAAATGAATGAAAAAATATTAATGAGAAGTATTATGTAGAATTTTTAAATGAATGACATGAACATGTGATATAGATATAGAAATAAAAGCATAAATATAATTGTTCACATATAGAAAAGTTTTCTATTTCATCTTTTATAACGTCAAAAATTGCTGATTGTCCTTTTGAAACATCAGAAACTGATGATTCATCTGATTTATTTAATGGATACCATGAATCTAGCTTGTTTATTAAATTCAATAAATTTGAATAATATTTATTTATACGTTGCATATCTTTCCGTAATTGCCATGATTTTAATACTACTTCGTTAACATCTTGTAAATTTTTAAATGAATCAATACTTCGTTTGATATCAGCATTACTTATAGCCATTATAATATTTAATGCACATATTAAATCAAAAGTTCGTTCATAAAAATAATATGGAAAACCCTGACCAGATAATAATTTTAAATACAAATCTAAAAATGATTTACTAGCATATGTAAGTGGACCTATTATTTCTATGCTACCCCCTTGTTATCTATATTAAATGCAAATGCAAAACCGAAATCAATTAATTTTACATGATTATTATCACGATCTAACATTAAATTTTGTGGACGTACATCACGATGAATAACACGACAATCATATAAATAATGAATTATATCAGGGTGTGGGTGTGGGTGTGGGTGTAGGTGTAGGTGTTAGGATCAGTCTTCTCTCAACCAACATCCACACTCACATCCACATCCACACCCACCCTTTTTGAACACATTTAATTAATTTTGAATTTATTCATATAGCAATAATTGAACATTGTGCTTGTAGATAATTGATAAGCAAATAAAAGAATTCTTTTCTTGATGTTTAATAAATATAAAATAAAGTTTAAAATATTTGTAAATATCATTTAATTGAATATGAATTTCATTTCTTCGACATCAATAAACTATTTTATAAAGAATATTTAAATATGAAAATATGTTATGAATTAAATATGAAAAACAATAATTTGAGTAGAAAATGATTGATTATTCTCTCAAATAGTTTTATTCTCAAAATCATAATAAATACAAAGTAAATAGCTGAAACAAGATTAACAAAAGTGAAATAAACAGTGACGAAATGGATCAATTCTATTTAAAGTGATTTCTAGATTTTTGTAAAAGAAACTTCAAAAACTGCACATAGGATAATAGTTGTAAATATATAGTTGTCTCATCAATTTAATCGGTCATATACATACATTGAACTTTATTAAGAAATAAATAATATACTCACCAAAAACTTCAAATATCAATTGATTATAAAGTCAAAACTGAATTATCGCCACCTAGTATTCGTTCAAAGAGCTAGTTGTTAGAAAATTTTTCTCCTATTCATATACTAAACCTTTCCCCCATAATAGAAGACTCTCTGGAGGGTACAATGTGCTGAATATTATAGAAGACTCCCTCTAATTTTCTCATGATAATCTTGAAAAAATCCTGAAAATCCAGGAAGATTTTCCAGAAAGTTTTTAACTGGAGCCCGTTGAAAAATGTATAATCATAATAGAAGATTCCCAGAATAGTTTGTTCACTACTACATAATAGAAGACCCCAGATCTTTTATTATTGGAGGGTACTCTGAAACAAATCATATAAACAATAAACTTTAGAAAATTAGGTTCTAATTAAAAACGTATCGATTAGAATAAGTTTATTTCGTTGTTTAACATATATTCTTATGGTAATTACGCAAAATGTAAATTTTTTTTCTAGATGATCATGGGATTGTCACAAAAACGAAATTAGATACATGAAAAAGTACTTTCTCATTTCGTTTCAATGATTGTGCAACTCAAATATCTTTTGGTTGAACGATTTGATTGGCTTTTGCATGTTGTTCAATGCGTAAGGCTTTGCTTTGTTTATGATCTTGTTTTAAATTCTTGAATATATTTCTGTTATGCATAATTCATGTGAATATGTTCAAGACAAATCATTTGACGTTCAAATCTTGTAAGATTAGTTTAAATTATACAAAAAATCATTATTTTCTCTCGAATTCATTATAAGGTTGTTATAAATTTTCACAATTCAACAGTAAGTTTGTATACGATTGGTACAGATCACGATTTTCTGTATGATTTTACTTGCGCTTATGAAGTCGGATATCTGGTTTTCTTTTTTCACCTGAACAGATACACCATTGAAATAAAGTGATCTTATTTTTAGAAAAAAAAACGATATTATTTTTTTTTGGGTATAGTATAGAATAAAATCAAATCTATTTTCATCTAATGGACAAAAGTAATATTGTAACTGAATTAGTTTATTTGAGAATTAAATAAATAATCATCCTGATAAATCAAAAACTCAATCGAAATCGATTGCATTTATAAATAAACTCATTTAACATTGAAGAAACTAATTCTTTTCTTTATTTACCATGTAGAAAAGGATTTGAAAAAGTAAATATAAACAATGAAGAAATAGTTTTAATTGAATATAATAATATCATAAAATGAAGTCTATTTTTTTGCCATAATTTTACATTAATTACACAACCTATCGAAAAGCAGCTAATGTTTTTCTTGTATTATAAGTTGTTCCATTTTTTCAAGCTTAGAACTTGTCATTGTTGTTTGACTAATTTCTCATGCAAAAATTTCATTTTTATCTCCTATTTGATAAAACATCCACATTCACATCCACACCCACACACCCACATCCTCAGTGAATATTTATTTTCTTTATTGTTCGCCATGGTTACAAATAATATTTTTAATTATATTTATCTATTTTTTAATTAGTATCAAAAATTAAATATGCCGTTCGATAGAGCTCGTTAAGCTCTATCTGGTACGCAAGAATTCATAGTTGACACGCTTGATTCGGCGAATCGTTCTTGAAAAAACTCGAATCGCGTGCTAACTTACCTTACATCAACTATCGTGTCATCATTCCAATAAATTCATTCAGATTCCGATTCGAAAAATTTCGGCAACTTTCCGGCTTGATCCAGTAGGAATACGTTGAAAGCAGAACGAAACCTGTCAGTCAAACCAATGCCAGAATTCGTTGCATGAAATCGGATGAGAATTATCTTGAATGCTTCATGATTATGCAGTGTCATCATAAGAAATATACCTTGTGACATGGAGCACTTCAAGAGTAACATAGCAAAATATGTGTCGGGTTGACTGCAAATATTGCAAGTTTAAAGATGAAACACAATACTACTTCGCACAAATTTTCAAGATTGTTAATTAAAACATAAGCTCTGATAAGCAAAGCATACTATTGTCAATAAGTATTAAGTCAACGAACTATGTTCGTATATATATATATATATGAAGTCCCAATCCGTTTCAAACATAGAGCAACAAAAATGATTCGTGGTCTTGTTTTTTTCTTTTTGGCGGCACTCTGCTACGCAGCGCCGAGAAAAGGCGTGCATCCGGTATGGGAGGATACCCCCGAATCATATATATGTGCTGGTACAGCAACACGTCAGGCCATGAATGCTTTCGATTCAAACACGATTATAGTCAAAGTTGATACATCAAAGTGTCGATTTAGCGGTACGCCTCTCTACTTTACAAGTTTGAGTGGTACTTGTGGAAATCTGGCTGCGACAGGTGTATGGGCAATCTACGATCCGACATCCAACGGATTTAACGTCAAAATGCGGTTGCCTAATTTGACGGCACAACAAGTTCTCGATACAGCGGCACAATGCCAATGGGTTCTCAATTGGAATGGTGTTCTCGAACTCTGAAAACATCAATGAAGAACTTGATCTGATTGAGTACTTTTATGTAATGATGCTCTGCTTTTTATTCAATAAAAGACAAATATCGAGAGAAATCCTGAGTGGACAATCTCTAGACGTGATGCATAATCATAATCTGATGAGTAACTTTGCCGTCTTTTCATCACCTATTTCATATCAAGATGATAAGCATCTCTATACAAGTAAAAAAGCAATGATTTTTTATTTTAAATCACGCACGGGACACACAACACAACATTTTTCAAAAGTTGAAGGAGAGTTAAGAAAATCAAAATCTTTCCTTTCAAGACGATCGATGCACATTGAAGATGATTTCTTCCTATCATATATTAATCTTCATCTTTGGCTTGCCATTGACTCTAGAGACCTCTCATGGAAGATGCTTTCATCAATCATAGATTGTCGAAAATGTTCTATCAAAATCATTTCACGTTTCTTCAACTTTCGCTGCAAATTTCTGCTGAACAAATAAACGGTCGGCCTCAAAATTTTGAGTACACACGTATGTAAGTAAGTTGTTTAAGAACTATGAGTTTCATAAGAATTGAATATATGATTCATGCTTTATAAGAAAAACATGCGCCAATAACGTACTCACACAAAAAGCCCTCATCTTGCTAGAAGCTATCGAAGGGATTAAATTTTCTGCAAATGATGAGACTATAAAGGTATATGGCCAAGAGCAAGGGTTATAAAATAGAGAAGGGTGTGGGTATGTCTATCTTATATAAACACTCACACTCACACTCACACCCACACACCAACCACACCCAGCTTTTCTTTCGATAATTCTCCCATCTTTGTTCACAGAAGAATAAAGTAAAAGATGGAGCTATGGTTGGAACTATAAAGAAAAAGTCGCTCCGACTCCGCTCTAACTCATTTTTATTCGTGAAGCGCTCCGCTCCGACTCTGCTCCAGCTCTATCATTCTATCAAATCGCTCCGCTCCGCTCCTGGAGCGGGCGCTCCGGAGCCGGAGCTGCCCATCTCTGCTTCATACTGATTAAACATAGTCCAATGTTTGTTTTATCAGAGATAGATGGTCATCAATTTTTATTCTTAATGACAGCGTACATGCACGTTGTTTAAAGACTAGTACGATTGACAGTAATACAAAAACTAAGCATTTCTCTTATGTCATAAAATAATACGTATCATTATTATTAGCTTTAAATCTTTCATTATTATTTTATAAATATGTTTTTAAAGCAATCTTGGAAGATTTAAAGGTCACAATAACAATGCATATTGAAATAAATATACAAAAAAACGTCGTTTTTTGCTGTATGACACACAAGAAATACTTAGTTTTTGTATTACCCTCAAAAGTGCTATTATTTGAGAAATGTGCATGCACGACGTCGTTAGAAATAGAACTTAATAACATTCGATCTCCGATAAATATTGGACTAAGTTTCATCAGTATGAAGTTATTCGTATTGATAATTTGTTTATGATTTTAATAAACATCTCATATCATGTTTTGTTGTATTTATCTATTCGAAAAAAAGTTTTTTTGTTAAGACAGTTGTTCGTGTTTTAGCCATCAGTTACAATATTAGTATTTTTGTTCTTGATGGTTTTAGTGAAAGTTATTTTTGTCTCGTTTGCTGTTGGCCATGAAAATTCTTCTTTGTTTCATTACTGATAATCAATATTACTCACGCTTTTTGTATTGGTGTTGAAATTTGTTCATTTTTTTTTGTTATAAAGAAAATGTAATTGTGTATTTCTGTTAGCTCATGTGTTTTTCTTGAATTGATTCATTATTTCTTGCTCATTATTTCTTCGATTTGTTAATGCTATCTTTCTCGCTATCAGGA